TTAACCCCTCTCTGAGAGGGGTGGGGGTGCATGCAAGTGGCACCTTCTGCCTTCAGGCTTGCTGTTTCCCAGCCTGATGCCTCAACCCAGCCATCTGACCTACAGGCTCTTGCAAGATACTGGCCTTAGTGGTGCTTTTGTAAAGTTAGCTGAGCAACAAGGCTGTCTTTTATTTGGAGTGGGGATGGGGATACTATGTCATAGCTGTGGATTATTCTGATTGATTTTTTTTCCCAGCATATCTAGGAAGATGCAGTGAATGTAGTGACAAAATCAATATATTTTTGAAGGTTGCATATTTCCAGAGTAAAGTGTTTAAGGACATGCTGCCAGGCAAAACGTTTCATCAGCCAAAATTCCATCTTACCACACTGAGCAAATGTGACCCAAATTAAACTGGTAGATAGCCAGTCCAAAGAAACAGGAGTCATAAAGAAGCTGTGACACTCTGCAGCAGGATGTTGCTAAAAACTTATATGACTTCAAAAACCAACCTAATTCATGAATGAAAAAATCCACCAAAAGTTATTAATCAAAAAAATACCACCTATTGCTCCAAAATCTGTTGCAAATTGCTGCAGGGTGGGAGTATATATGGGAGCAGTATTGCTGTAGAATTTCCCTGGGTTTATATTCTTCAGTAGGCACCTGCCACCAGCCACTATCAGATGCCAGCTACTGGGCTCAATGGACTCTTGATCTGACAGGATACAGGCACCCTAAGTTGTTTGTCCTTCCATGTTGGTCACTGTCATTCTGTTCATGTTGTTATCAAATTTTCTTTCTGCTAAGTCTACAAGTCTTTATCCCTTTCAATGAGGCTCAAGTGGCCTGCCCTTGTACAGTTATTTAACTTACTATGGAGAGTCAGTACTCACCTGGGAAGCCTGGGCAAGTTTCCTCATCATTTATTTGTGGGGGGGAAAAGCATATTAAAATTTAAAAAAGAATAATCACACAATTCCCTAAAGAAGTACAGTATGACAGTTAAAGTCTGGCTGAATATATTTGTCATTACTTACTATAAGAGTTGTGTGTTGTGATCACAATGTGGAGGCAGCCAAACTCAAGTGTTTTTAAAAATAGAAATACCTAAATACATAGTCACTATACAATTTGTTCACAAGCAGGGAAAGAGCCACCATTTTCCCTTCTCTCAATCACAGAAACAGGAAAACTTGATTTAAAACTGTATGTCTATATCAGACTTCTCTCTTAAAAATGGCACTTCTGCTAACTCTAATGAAAATGTATACAGTGGTAGCAACTGTGAGAAAGCTGAGTTAGGTTGTGTACAACAAGTTTTAGTCAGTGTTTTAGTCAGCTTTTCCCAGTGATAGAGCCCAGTTAGGGAAGACAACTTACTGGTAAAGTATCCCTGAACATCAAGGCTGTTGCTCCCATTTCTCTGGCATTTACCAGAGTGATCAGTTATGTACTGCATGCAGACTCATGGGCATGTAATTTTTATATTAAAATAATTTAGATAATTTAGTGTATTTTTAGGCTTTAATTAGAGAAAGAATAAAGATGGTTCTGATGAAAAACCTTTAGTAAGTAGATGCTATTTCACTTAACTTACTTAAAAGAATCACTGTCAGCACCAGCTAAATACCATTCTTTACTCTTCTGTCATGAACAAAAATCCAGACCTTGAGAGCTAGAGATCCAAGGTGTGCTGTTTATGCTGAACTGAGAATTATGGCAAAGTATGTCACACTATTTTGTTTCTCTTTCTTCTTTTACTAACTCTATTTTTTTCTCTTCCTGATGTATCTTCTAGGAATATTTGTTCTCTGAAGGCAACTCTGATCTAGCTTGTAAAGCAGATGATTCACAAACATGGCATATATGGGCCATTTTAACTATGCCAGAGAAAAAAATATATATTAAGACTTACAGAAAGTATTTAGACAATATTGAGAAAATTGACTAAACGTTACCAGTTATGTCAGAGTGGACAGCTTAAAGGTTGCAGAATTTTCCAAGAGTTTTGCAATTATTTTTTTAAGAGTTAGGCCACCATAATTATCTTAAACTGGCACTTCTTAACAACTGTTGTGGTTTAGGAATGGTGCTCTCCTATTTAATACCCCCACCAAGACTCTACCAAACCACTCATCGCTTGCTCACTCCCCTCTTTCCCTCTCTCTTCCCACTCTGGCAGGATGGAGTTGAGAATTGGGGGAACTAAAGGTAAAGATCATGGTTGAGGTAAGAACAGTTTACTAGAAACAGCAATGAGATAAGAAAATTAATAATAACAATAACAGTACTAATAATAAAAGTATACAAAAGAGAGAGTGATTCATGTGCAAAAACCCCAGACCCTGAGACAATGAACAATGGCCAACAAAGCCTCCATGTTTTTCAACTGGAAGCCACACCCTTCTTCTCAGAAGCAGGAAAGTCCCTTTCCACCACCCCTGGCAATGACATGAGGTGGTATAGAATAAACTCCAGGTCCTGGCCTAAACTAGGACAATGACCTGTTCAAACACTGTGCCCTTGTATTCCTTCTCTACTGTATGTACAGAAGACTCTATGTAGTACCCAGAGAGAGCGAGCCTTCACAGTGCTGTTGTGGAGTGTAAGGAGTTTTCCCTAGCATGAATTGGGAACTGTTACATTATTCATGAATAGCAAAACCATGAAGAAATTATACTGGGGACTAATTAGGATTTCTGTTTGTGTCTTAGTCAACTCAGCATCACGGGAGAGAAAACTTTAGATAAATTGAACTAATTGACAATCCAAGGTTCAATATATGCTCAAATCAAGCACGTGCTATCCAGCTGCTTTAGACCATGTGGAATAGGGACTGCTTTTTTCATTTTTAAAAGTGATCCTTTCAGACATCAGCCTTCAGGATGGTAGGCTTTTGGCTTCTGTGTGCCAGATCGGAAGGAACTGCCTGGCAAGGGTCTCTTCCATTCAGTGATACGTGGCAGTGGTACTGGGAATTCTGAGAGCAAAGAAGGTAACTGCACCTTGAAGGTGATTATCTTTTCCAACCACCTTTTACCTTCTCTGCTTGTCTCAGGCTATTCATGCAATATCTGAACCCCTGCCTTACTAGGCTTATTTGCATAAGCATATTAAGTGTTGTTTTGGAGAAATATTGTATTTGGAGTAATAAAATGAAGGATATGCCACCCAAAATTAATAACATAGGGATGGGTAAAAGCGAACATGAGTCTGTAAAATGACTAGCTCTTTTAATGTGTGAGGTATGACTTGTCTAGCACAAGGATGTCAAATACCAGATTCAAAGCAATATAGTTTGTGAAAGCAAGGTAGATACTGCTTTCTGACACCTTGATGTGATGGTCCATTCCTGAAGCCCTCCTGAGGGAGAGCTAAGACCACAAATAACTAGAGTTTTGAGGGTGTGAATTTGAAATTATCTCTCTTACACACACAGAAGACATTTCCGGGGAGCATTGAGGTTTCAAAAAACCAAACAAAACTTCACACTTCAGTTTGCACTTTCTGGTTTTGCTTTGTTTTATCTGCCTTCTGCCTGCTTTTTCTGCCTTCCCCCTTAAAATTTTTTCTTTCTCCTTGAAGGTTTGGTCTACTTCCCTCAGTCCTTTTAATGAACTTAGTAGTGGGGAAAAGCTCTGCCCTGGTACAGGAATCCTGAGAGTAAAGAGGAAAGTTGCATGCCATTATAAGGGGAATAGAGCAGGTCAGCTTACATCATCAGAGGCCTTGTGACTTTATATTCAAAAAGAAGTGTGCTCTAAGCACCTATTATTAGCCTTTCTTCAACCACGCTTCCAACTTCAAATAAATTTTAGGAACTCATTCTCTTACAGGAAGGTTTCCTTTAAGGATTTTGGAGGCAATGAGTTTTTCTGTGCAAATGCTGTTTCATATAATAAACTTTACAGTGCCAGTGAATAGATATGAAATAGTTAAATAACAGAATAAATCTCCTCAGTTTTATGAATGCACTTAGTTTCTGCCTACTTTCTCCGAAATATGCTAGGACAAATTCTGAAATCTGTAACACTCAGGTCCTCTCTAGACAAAATACTAATTGAAATTAATGAGAGCATGACTCAAGGGAAAACTTAAAAGCTGGGAATTGTAATGCATGCCCTTTAAAACATTAAACAATAGGAGTTTCAGACAGGGAAATAGGAACTTTTCAAAAACTTCTATATCACACTTTCAGAAGTGACTTCTCATACTTGAGAACTTGAGTCCCACAGAAAGAAAATTAAACACAGCTCATGGAACATCCTAATGCCAGCTATGGAGCTTGGTTTCCCAACTTATTTTAGAAGCTGTAGAAATGTTTTGTTTTGCCTGTACTGAAGAAATGAAAATGTTTGAGTTTGCCACTTCAATATGTAACAAACAAATAATGTGGCTAAAAATGTTCTGTCACTTTCTCTACTTTTGAGCAAGTCTGTGTGATCTCAGTAGTTTTAAGTTAAAGATGTAAGGCTTAAAGAAACATTTGAGTGTGTAAGAAACATTTTTCTTATAATTTTCTGTCTTATTATACCAAACGACTGGCCTTTTGAAATTTTGACCTCCAAATCTATAAAAAATATAAGGAAAAAAATTATGTTTGTTACTTCTACCTCAAGAGTCAGAAAATTCTGGGAATGGCAAACACAAAATTTTTTGTTTTGGTTGAAAATGAAAGTAAGGTACAATATACCTGCAGTTTTAGATTAAAAATATATTTCAATTTTATCAGGATACATGAATGCCTCAGAACAGGTTGTACCAGACCGGAAAGGCTCAACTAATTTTAATTTTATTGTGTAAAGCAGTTGCCTCAGAGAACTTTTCTTTTCCCAAGGTTTCAGAAACTTTTGCATGTTTCAGAGCTTCTGAAGTGAATTTGAAAGCAGGATTTTAGATGACTTTCCACCTCAGAGATCTTCCACTATTACAAGAAACTAGTGTCCAGGAAAAGTTTCTCTCTCTAATGAAGATTATTTTTTCTTCTTCTTTCCCACTTCCCATTTCCTATCAAGTCGGAAGTGTCTTGGATCCCCAACAAACACTACTCTGGGATTTACGGGCTGATGAAGTTGGTTCTGACTAAGACTCTACCTTCTAATCTTGAGCGAGTCATTGTCCTCGACACAGACATTACATTTGCCACTGACATTGCTGAGCTATGGGCCGTCTTTCACAAGTTCAAAGGTATTTTAATGATTTTTTTGCTGTCCTTGTTTGAAGGGGGAGGGAGAATGTTAAAGCAAACAATACAGTGGGGGTGAAAGGTCTATCTAAGATTTGTTAAATGTTTTCATTCTTTTAGTTTTTGGTGTTTCAATATAATTGTTCTCTTTGTGAGCTCTTTTCTCAATGATGTTCAGTATAGAATGATTGACAACACTGATTATCTATGTAGTTGGTTTTATTGGTCTGATTATTTGAGACAGGTGAGAGCTTGACAATACAGTAGGTGATAAAGAATTATGAACATGCTCTAGTGATGTGCTATTCAAATACCTCTTGGTATTTGAATTTCCAAGTATTCTATACTTGGAAGAGCTTGGGGTTTATTATTTTTTTATTAATAAAAAATATTTATTACTTTCAGTAGAACTTTTCCATATTACCTCTGAAAGTGAATGAAGTTTGGATCATTCTTGAACCAGGGAGGAGGATGAAGGGAGCAGAGTAACACATATGAATAGAAATGAGTTCCTGCCTGCTCCTCTTAATGTGTTGATAAAGGGTTCTGGATTCTAAGTATCCACCTAAAATAGTTTTCTTCACCTATCTCCATGTCCCACAGCTCCTTGGAAATGCACCTCATACTTTTACCAAGAAAGGAGACTTTCAGAGTAACTCTGTAAGGAGATGATCACAAAAAAGTTCCCCACTACCCTGTCACAAACCAAAGCACTTTCCTAGGTGGCACACTGCTAAAACCATACAATTCTCCCAGGTTCCAGTGTTGTAAGCTGTTCAGAGTCAGAGAGATACCCTACTGTTTTTTTCTTGCCCTCAGAATATGTACTGCATGGTAAGCACATAGGCATTCCAGCATGCTGGTTTGAAGGTTTACAACCCCGTAAAATTTTAACCTTAATGCATTTTGTCAGCTCTCTCAAAATCATCTCAAGAAAAGTCAGCCTAAGCAAATGGGAGTATTCATTTACATAAGCCAAAATACACCACTCCATTAGGAGGGCAAGAAAAAAGAGAACACGTTTACTGTACTTATCCCCTTCTAAAATCCACAAGGCCTTTTTGCCTTTCCCAGTACCCAGCTAAGGGGCAAGACCTATTATCTTCAGCTCTACAGTCAAGGACAGGGTTCTAGTGCTTATTCCTCCATGGATTTGTTTCCTTTTCCTTCTGTGGATACACTGATGTCCTTTCAGCAGGCCAGAAGCAATCACCTTTTTACTTAACTGAATTATTCACAAGCTTTCTTCATTAAGGAATATCAGGGGTTTCCTCCTTTTCAGGTACTGTTCAGATCTCTTCACTAAACCTTTTCCTCCTCTGAACCTTGAGTCTCATGTAAACATATACCTTAACAACCATAAGTAACATCAATTCATGCTTAAGGAGTAAAGCTGTGCTATTGTACTGTCTCACTGTGTGCTGCTGTCCCATTAATAGCAATATTTTACTGAATATAGTGTATAAACTGAACCTGGGCATAGAGGACTGCATGGTCGAAGAGAGCAAAATCTGAATTGAGACAATGAGAGGGATCATCTTGCTTATGTTTTCTGCCATAATTTCAATTAAGATCCCTTGCTTTTTTACTGGGTGAATGAAACCAAGCATAAAGTCCACTTGTAAGGAGAGAAACATGGAACAGAAGCAGACATAAGATTGCAAGAAAATACAGACAGAAAATATGGAAACATGGAGGAGAATAGTTAATGGAAACAAAAAAGTAGGTGTAAGTCAGGCTCCATAGAGCTAGGCAAGAATGGTCATCTGATTAGATCTGTGAAAAGCTCTAACTTACACATAGAGACAGAATTCCTGTGCTACTGCCAGCCCTCATAACATACATAGCACAATTCCCAAATGTATGATTTTGTAAATTGTCCAGTGTGTCCTTTTAATTCCAGCTGACTACCTGCTCCTCCACATTTTCTAATCCTGGCAATAAATTGGTCAGTGTCTACATCTGCTCATCTCCCAGGCACAAAGAAAGAATTGATGGGACAATCCCATAGCACTGGGTGTTGAGCCAGGGTGGGAGAGGACTTTGGATCCTAAATGTTGGGGAGAAGAAAGAAATTAAAGTGTCCAAGCACAGGCTTGTTCTCCAGCCTGTGTCATAGGCTGCAGTTCTATTACCAAAGATGACCTTGATGACAATGACAATGGAGTTGAGTGTTTGTAGGTAAGAATCAGAGGGAAAGCCAACAAGGCAGATATCATGGTGGGAGTCTGTTGTAGACCACCCAACCAGAATGAAGAGGCAGAAGAAATATTTTATAAGCAGCTGGGAGAAGTCTCACAATCTCTAGCTCTTGTTCTCGTGGGGGACTTGAACTTACCAGATGTCTGCTGGAAATACAACGCAGGGGATAGGAAACAGTCCAGGAAGTTTCTGGAGTGTGTGGAAGATAATTTCCTGACATAGCTGGTGAAGGAGGCAATCAGGGGAGGTGCCCCTTTGAATCAGTCAGCAGTCCTGGCTAACCAGGGAGGTCCCAGTGGACTGGAGGTTAACAAATGGGATGCCCATCTACAAGAAGGGCCTAGAAGGAGGATCCAAGGAATTACAGGCCTTTCAGCCTGACCTCAGTGCCAGGGAAGGTCATGGAGCAGCTCACCTTGAGTGCTATCATGTGGCATGTGCAGGACAACCAGGGGATTAGGCCCATCAGCATAAGTTTGTGAAAAGCAGGTCCTGCTTGACCAACCTGATTTCCTTCTATGACAAGATGACCTGCTTAATGGATGAGGGAAAGGCTGTGATTGTTGTCTACCTAAACTTTAGTAAAGTCTTTGACACTGTCTCCCACAGTAATCTCCTGGAGAAACTGGCTTCTCATGGCTTCGACAGGTGCACTGTTCTCTGGGTAAAAAAGAGGCTGGATGGCCAGGCCCAGTGAGTGCTGGGGAGTGGAGCTAAATACATCTGGCAGCCAGTGACTAGTGGTGTCTCTCAGGGCTCAGTATTGGGGCCAATTTGGTTTAATATCTTTACAATTATCTGGATGAAAGGATCAAGTGCGCACTCAGTTTGCAGAGAACATCAAGATGAGTGGGAGTGTTGATCTTCTGGAGAGCAGGAGAGTTCTGCAGAAGGATCTGGACAGGCTGTATTGATGAGCAGAGACCAGTTCTGTGAGTTTCAACACGGAAAAGTGCCGGGTCATTCACTTGGGTCACAACAACCCTTTGCAGTGCTACAGGCTTGGGGCAGAGTGGTTGGAAAACTGCCAAGTGTAAAAGGACCTGGGGGTGCTGGTTGACAGCAGCAGAACATGAGCCAGCAGTGTGCCTAGATGGCCAAGAAGGCCAATGACATCCTGACCTGTGTCAGAAATAGCATGGCTAACAAGACTAGGGAAGTGATTCTCCCACTCTATGTGGCACTGGTGAGGCTGCAACTCAAGTGCTTTGTTTGGTTTTGGACCCCTCACTACAAGAAGGACATTGAGGTGCTGGAATGTGTCCACAGAAGGGCAACAGAGCTCGTGAAGGGTCTAGAGCCCAAGTCCTATGAGGAGCAGCTAAGGAAGCTGGGGTTGTTTAACCTGGAGAAAAGGAGGTTCAGGGGAGTTCTTATCGTTGTCTACAACTACTTGAAAGGAGGCTGTAGCCAGGTAGGGGTCAGTCTGTTCTCCCAAGTAACAAGCAATAGGATAAGAATGGTCTCAACTTTCACCAGGGGAGGTTAAGATTGAGTATTAGGAAAAATTTCTTCATGGAAAGGGTTGTCAAGCATTGGAAGAGGCTGCCCAGGAAGTGATGGTGTCACATCCCTGGGGCTATTTGAAAGTTGTGTAGATATGGCACCTGGGTACAGTGGTATACTTGGTAGTGTAAGTTTAACAGTTGGACATAAAGGTCCTTTTCAGTCTAAATGATTGTATCATTCTGTGATTCAATGGAAATGAAAGCAAGGACAAGTAAGTTGGAGAGATACTGATACCCTTTTACTGCTTGTAAAAGTTTGTTGTAAATTATATGGTGATTCCCAGTTTTTCCTAGGTTCTCTATTTCTCCTTCCAGCGTTACAAAAGAGGCAAAAATTGTCTCAAGTCACTAGCCCCAATTATTCCTCTGAAGGATTTTTTTTCTAAACTAATGTTTTAATCTCTTCCTTGTTTCTCTCTCAGAAGTCCTAGGTAAGTTTATGAAAATTTCTTTAGGACAATCTAGTATGTTTGTTGAAACATTGAATAAACAGAAGAGTAATAAGACTCCTATGAAGGGAAAGGCTACTCTCCAAAGGAACCTGACACTGTGTCCAGCCCCAGCTTGGAGGGCAGCTTTAGACTCACTGTGTCTCCTTCTAGAAATGTTTAAAAAACCCAGTTGATGGCTAGAAGCTGCCATTATAAACCTGCTTACACCAGGATGCTTTTTGAGCAAACAGAAGAATTTTTCACATCAGTGCAGAAAAGGCAAGAGCTTCTGTCTGCAGGTTGCTGCAGGATAACTGATGAGGCAGTCCAGCATAGCCTTTTCCACATTGCAGCCACACATATAGAAAAGGTCCTAGAGTGTGTGATTCTTTCTGTCCCCAGGAAGACTTTTCTTCCCAACAAAAATAGTGACAAAGGGAGACCAAGAGCTCAGATTCCTTTTTTTCTAGGACACTGTGCTTGGAAGAAACTCAGATTCAGGACTGTCTTGAAGTTTAACCAGGTCCAATTTGCTGTGTAGAAAGCCCTACAATATGTTTTAAATAGCACCTGCAATGCCCAGAATCCTTGTTTTGCAAAGATTCTTCTTCCAGTCATCTTAAGAGTTGCTGAAAAGATCAGACCCTTACATAGCAAGTTAATATTTTTGGTGGTAAAGGTACTACTACCTTTGCTCTGTAGATGGAAGAAAGGAAGTAGGATTTCTTTGTAAATTATTGCTCTTCTGCCGTTTTCTGATACGCTCTTGCATACATCTTTACAATATATAATCCAACTGTTCTGTAGCTGAGTGAAAAAATTTGAAAATCTCTTCTTTGAAGTGGCAGCCTTAGACTTTGG